TTTAACCCTAAACCGCCAAATTTTTGACATCAAATTCTAATATCGGACTTTTTTTTTGTGTAAACATATTTTTAACATAAGGTAACTTTTTGTGGATACCCCAATTAAAATATAAAAAAAAATGTTGGGCCCCCGGGGCACCCCTAAATATTGGGCTAGTACGCTATTTTTTTTTCTACAATTATTGTCAACATAATGCAACTTTTTATTGCCACCCCAAACAAAATATAAAAAAATAATATTTTGGGCCCCCAGGGGGACCCTTAAAAATTGGGCTAGTAGGCAAAATTTTTTTTTACAAACTACTTTTGGCATAGGGAAACTTTTTTTTGGTACCCCTAAATTGAATTAAAAAAGTAATTTTTTCGGCCCACCCTATTATACAGGGCTTCTTTTAATAGCCATGGAGCAGTTCTGGCCTTTTCTCGCAGGGCGAATGTGAGGCCAGCTTAATCCTGGTAGCAGAACAAAGTCTTGAAAGTTGAAAGTTCAAAGAAGAAGGAATGTTAAATAAAATGAAAGAAGTTTAAAGAATATTTCAGGGGAAAAAGGAAATTTGGATAAGTAGCAAATCAAAAAAAAAAAGAAAGGGTAAAGAATAAGACCTCTAGCACCCGTGGGTTTAGTAGTACGGTTGGACTTGAGGGAGATGTTGAAAGTTTGGTTGAAAATAATCCAGGAGGTCGAAGACACGAAAGCAGACCTCAATCAGCGGATATCTCCCATGTCGCGTATTGTTTTGAAGGTTAAGTTATTGTTCCGAAAATCCCAATTCCAAAATTATTTAATTACCTATTTAATACAAAACTAGCATACCTATATATCACAGATTTACATTTTATAGTTCTCATAAATTATTTATTAACAAAGATACGTTATAAACGCCGTAGCTCTTGGGGCCGTCGATGTTAGACATACGGTACAAATCGCAACACATGTATAACTTGGCTTGTTTCCCTTGTATACGCTAAGCGCTTATGGGGAGATTTACTTATTGCCCTGCGGGATTGTAGTTTTAATGCCTATTTTACCCTATTAATATATTCAGGAAAAAAACGAGAGGAAAAAAAAAACAAAAAACCCTGTCATGTGCGTGTTGATTTTTTATGCATTTTTTACAATCTTTAATAATGTTGTTTGTGGGCATAAGACCCTTGTTGTATAATATACATACATGTTTTATAAGGGCGTAGTAAGTCCAGTGAAGCCGGTCACCACACCCTTGTTTGAAAGATAAAGGTGTGTCGACCAGTGGCGTAACTATCACCGCTGGGGCCCGTAGCGAATTCATCAGATGGTACCTCCCTTAATTTAAAGAAATTCAATGTTGCTTATAAATTATTTTGTGCATAACTTTTAAATACATTAAAATAAGAAAGTATTTAAAAAAATATAAAGGACTGAGAGCGATGTTGTTATATGTCCTTTTTAAGTCTTGTATTTGCCCTTTGTAAAATAAAGATTAAATTATTTTTGAATAAAATATACTTTTTTTATTATTAATTTTTTTTTGTTTTATGAACTCAGATAAGTAGGTAATTTAGTTAAATTTTAATTATATTTTTTACCAATAAATCGTACAACAATGTGAAGTAATGGCATGTTACCATAATAGGTATGTCCGTTTTGCATTTCATTTACGAAATAATATTTTAATTTGTATTGAATTATAATGGATTTTGTTTATTCCCAATTAAGTTTTATTATATTATTTAATGTAATAAACCAATAATTTTATTTAATCAAAATTTAGGACTATATTTTTAATCCCATAAATCGTACAATACTGTTAAATTATCTGTCATTAGATGCTAACGGTTTTCTTTCAAATAAAAAAATATATAGGTAGGTATTTATAGTGATAATTCAAACATTTTGTGTCGTAAAAAACGCTTTTATCAAAGTTATACAGAAGAATTTCGTTCTTTTGGAAGTACAGTAAGTACCTATATATCAAAAAAGTTATTGCTGTCATTTTGAAAAATATTATACTTAAATATTACAGAGTATATATATCTTACAGGTTTGCCCTACTGTGCTCTCGGGCCGGGGGCGTTATTCGGCCGGGGGCCCGTGGCATTTTGCACGCTCTGCCAGCCTTTAGTTACGCCACTAGTGTCGACTGAAATTAAGATCAGCCGCCACACCTTTATTTATGTAGTCACCACACCTGTATTTGAAAATTGAAGATAAAGGTGTGGTGTCAAGGCGCTGTCGATACATCTCTATGTTTTAGTCGCTACACCTTTATTACACCCAGCGACTGATTTAATGTCATGCCAGCTTTATTTGTTGGCATGAAGCTTATTTTTTAGAAGTTATTGTTCAGCTGTGCCATCACAGACGCACATCTCCAACAAATATTTGTAAGCTATCGGTACATATAGTTATCAAGTGTGCATAAGCAGCGGTGGGAGGTAATGCAACTATATTTTATATATATTTATTTTATATATATTTATTTTTAACTTTGTTAATTAGTTTTGTTTTGTAGAAGTTATGTTTAAAATAAACCATTTTACCTATTAAATAAATAAAATTAATATTTTTATCCCATTTCGGGCATTAGCCAACCACATCCTTAAATTACATCCCCAGGATATCCCAAAAGGTCGATCTATAGATAGGATAGATAGGACGACCTTATAGCATCATCCCATTCTGGGACATAAGGCTGGTCCAAAGACGGTTGTGATTGCTGGGTTTTAGTGAAAATCTAAAACAAATTATTTCATTTCGTAATCTTAATTCGATCCGTTTATGGTCCTACTGCCTAAAACGGCCGCTGGACTATTAAGTTTGTAACTCATAACCATTTTCAGGGCACCCGGTACAAAATAATATTGCACACATTTAATAAATTATTATAAGCAGGTTTTTTCTTTATTTAAATATAATATTCTGTAGTCCCTTTAAAAAAAAAGTAACATAAAGGGAGAAAAATAATTATGTTTAAATCTTAGGTGTCATAAAAATGCACTTCTGAGAATAATAGACTTACTAATAATTTTAACAAGCTAAATTGGTGCCTTGACTATCTTTTCCATAAATTAAAAAGATTTTCTCTCGATAGGAAAAGTAATATAAATTTATGTAAATTTTGTTCTTTAATTATTAAAATTTTTAGTACGTCCATAAATAACTGGGATTAAATTTTAAATTTTCCTTCAATTTTTATTAATTTACTTTAATTTTGAATTTTACTTAATTAAAATATTTTTTTGTCCGTGGTTTACTTATTATTATTATAAGTATACTATGGACAAAACATAATGATGCCTAAAAATAAAAAAAATTTAATCAAATTATGTTTTTTTAAATTTAAAAGCCAAAGTGTTGTATTTACTATTTTTTCCAGCGTTTAATAATCCTGAACTTTAATTAAAATTTTTGAGTTTTCGATATGCTGTCATATGACATGATCATATGAAAATAATGTAGACGTTTGACATAATAGGTTATACAATTGTTTAGGGTATCCTGCTTAAAGTTAACCCCATCATTATTTTCCTTATTCTTAAAATAATTTTGTCGGCCAAAAACTTTTCTTGAGTAATTTTTCATAAAATATTTAAATATTAAACAATACAGGGCTGTATAGGAAAACATATTTTCGGGTTCCTGCAAAAACCAGATAACTCCCAAAACACTGTTTAGAGAAATTTGAATTTTTAACTTACTATATTGGGTCTAGTTACTAAAAATGGAATTATACTATTTCTGTTGCGCTCGACCGATTAACCCATTCGGTTATGCACATCTTATTTTGTTTTATAAATCACTAACCTTAAATAAATTACATTTTAGTAAAAAATAATTTGTGAACTTATTAATTGGGATAGAGCTCGATTTTTTTAATTTACTTAGAAATAAATAGGCTTTACAATTGGTAGGAAGAAAAAAAAAATATGCACACCCTATTTTTTTATAAAAGTTATAAACAAATATAGTTGCGATACCTCTCCCCGCTGCTTATGTACGCTCGATGTATTTATCGATAGGTTACAAATATCAGTTGGAGATGTGCGTTTGTAATGGCATAGCTGAACAATGATTAGAGTGGGGCTGATCTACTCAGTAACGAATAATGGCTAGTTAATGGAGTATGTTTGAGTGCAGAGGATTTCTTCAGGACCTTTATATTCCAAGAATAATAATATTCCGTGAAACGTTCAAAGTACACATCCAGGCTGTCTTTTTTGTGATTTTTGGACATAAAGGCCATTTACAGGACATCCGTAGGCTGGTTGGGATATTCCAATATCCTGTAACTTACAGGCTGTAAGGCTTTTCTTATGACGTCCCAAAGACCGACTTGTACTAGCTGGGAATGCTCTTAAACACGTCCAAATGTGCATTAACTCTGGCGGCAGCCTATTGACCTATATTATTTTCTCAAGTTAAAAGAAACAAATCTAAAGGTCCAACTAAACATTAGGTATTCACAAACACCACCCTTTTTTTCATTTACAAAAAAGTTATATCCTTAGGAAAACGGGTGATGACTTTTGTGCCACCTTGTATTTTATATATAAATTATAGTTGTCTGTTAAAAACACATATATTATTAAATGATACATTTTTCCGCCCTTGAGGCCAAGTGGGATAGGGCCGGTCCTGGGTATAGGAACTGTTCTTGAAAGCAAAAGCAAATAAAACTAATGAAATAATGCCTGGTTCTATCCGTTACTTTAATATTATTATTATTATTATTAAGGTTCATTGACAAAGTATGTACATTGTACATTGTACAACTCCTATTCGTAGTATATTTACGTCCAAGTGTCTTCCATGAGTTCATGACTTGCAATTAGACCCTTTTAACAACTCTATGATAAGGTGTGTGTTTTATACACAGCAAACAATTTGAGTGACGGTTTTATATATGTATTTTACATGTAAAAATTATGACGTTAAAATAGACTGATATCGTGATAAATAAAACGTAGAAAAAATTAAAAGTTATACAGATTCAATTAGTTAGTTTTATTTTTGCCCAGGCAAGATAAATATAACTTAGTGGTTTTGAAGACTTCAATTTTGAGTGAGTTTAATATTAAATACATAATAATTTATTTATACTTATTTAACTTAAAATTTATTGATCTATCATTAATACATTAAAATTTAAATACAAAATTGAGCTGAAAACTGTCATACCACCGATAGATGGATAGGGAGAGATTTATTATAATAGACAACTAACCTAACATTTTAAGTTTATTGCGAATTTTTCCTGTTTAATTCTCTGTCTGGGCTAGACGAAAACAGCTTGTATTTTACACAAATGTATATAATATTTATTTATTTAGATTTTATTTTTTTTAACTCAGGTGTACTTTTAAATTTAAAAAATAAGTTTAACTAAACATGAGATTTTTTCTTCTTAGAAACTATTTTTCATATTATGCGCTGTAGAATCACCCCTTGAATTTTTGGCTGGAATTTGGAGACTATGTTTAAATTATTGTTGCTTTTGATCTCTGCCATGTTTTTTAAATTTTTAGTATTGATTAGGCACATTAAACGTTTTATTATATGTTTTAATGTCCTTGTAAATTTTTTGCAAGCAATGGAGTAAATGAGTAAATAATTGAAACCAAATTTAAACTTGACCTAAAAACCTGAATTTGCATCTCTTCTTTACTTAATTAATTAAGGTGTAAAACAAAATGAATTGTGTCTTATTTTACATTTTAAAATCCACTCACAGGCAAAATAATCGATCTACACAAATTTTCGATGAATTTCAATCACAAATAACTTTTTTATTTGATTTCGGATTTAAACAAATATTAAAGAATATTATAGATACATTAATGGAGAATCGCTCACATTTTAAAAATTACTAAAAAATACACGTACGTTTATAATATACAGGGTTAAACAAAAAGATGTTTTTTACCATAAGTTTAAGACACTCTGTAGAGTGGCAAAACCGTATATTGTTCTAAATTAAGTTTTATTTATTAAGTCACATCACATCACATCACAAAGAAATATATCAAGGTGAACCAAAAACAAAACTGTTAAAAATAGATGTGACTTGATAATTAAAACTTAATTTAGAACAATATACGGTTGTGCCACTCTACAGAGTGTCTTAAACTTATGGTAAAAAACATCTTTTTGTTTAACCCTGTATATTATAAACGTACGTGTATTTTTTAGTAATTTTTAAAATGTGAGCGATTCTCCATTAATGTATCTATAATATTCTTTAATATTTGTTTAAATCCGAAATCCGAAATTCATCGAAAATTTGTGTAGATCGATTATTTTGCCTGTTATCGTATTATAAGTTTTTAATCTTTAAAAAAATTTGGAAATTTTTAAAAATAAAAAATCTTGAAAATTTTCCTTAAATATTTTGATTTGTAAAGTGTACTACCATTTTGTACTGCAATTTTGAAGTATCAAAATGGTAGTACAAATTCGAACAGAAGGATACATTATATTACCATTATTAAATTTATCCCACTGTGCAAATTTGTCCTACCTACAGATAACAGTAATTTGTACTTTGGAAGCTACGTATTAGACGGCAGCATATTTTGGTGCGCCCCTTTTATATTTAAATATAATACATTAAATATTTAAATTTTAGACCCTAAAATTTAAAAAATATATATTTGCGACAAACTGGCAATATGTAATTGAAAATGTAAAAAAAACTGCTGAAAGTATAGGCATAAAATATATTTATTAAATTACCAAACAAACAAACAAAATCACAAAAAATTCAACTGTTTTTTAGTGACGTACCCTCTAAAAATGAATTAGTCAAAAATGACTAGTTTTCAAAGTAAAAAAGCGGTCACTAATAACTGTAGTCCACAGCAATTTGTATCCCGGACATTTAACAGCTTAATATTATGTAAAACTATCCCCTGAATCCGAAAAGACCGTCAAAAATTATGAAAGTAGAGCAGTTTTTGAGATATAGTCAGTATGTGGAAAATTGACTATATCTCAAAAAGTGTTCCACTTTTATAACTTTTGACTACATTTTTGGATTCAGGAGTTGACTGCTAATTGTCCGGGGTACAAGTTTCTGTTGACGATAATTATTAGTGGCTGCTTTTTCGCTATGGCAATTAATCATTTTTGACTAATTCAGTTTAAGAGATTAAGCTCGTTGAAAAGTCAAGCACTGTGTACACTACTGTTAAACTTTGCTACCGTCAACTGCAATAATTATTATCAAACAAATACTAAAATTATTTTGACATTTCTCTCCATTTATTTTGAAAAAATAATAATTAAGCCGCCAATAACAAAGCGGCAAAATACGCTTTATAGTGACCGAAAAAATGAGCGGCAGAAACCTTTAATGCGGCCGAATCTTTGATTTTGCGCCCCCCAAATGTTGCGCCTGCGTGCGTGCACGCAATGCACGCTCGCCAAGAACGGCCCTGATCTTTTACATAAAATATGTCATTTTCACGATAGGGTTATTTTTTATTTAGAATTAAAGTAAATGTAACTTAATTTTTTCAAATAATTAATGTTATGCATCAGATTCTGTCAATTTTGTCTTATTTTATGAAAATAATATAATGTACGTATTACAAACTTAAGTTTGTAATTCCTAGTTTATGTCAAAAAACATACATAGGTTTATTATGTTATTTTTAGAAAATAGGACCAAATTTCAGAAAATAATATAATGTAGGTACGTATTTTTGTACAAACTTAGGTTTGTAATTCCTAGTTTATGTCAAAAAACATACATAGGTTTATTGTGTTATTTTTAGAAAATAGGACCAAATTGGTGTTAAACTGACAAATACAACCTTAATTATTTGAAGAAAAAAATTACTTACAATTACCTACTTCATTATTTAATTGTATTTAAACAAAAATATTTCTGTCGTAAAAATTACATACACTTCGCGTCAAATTTAACGCACCACCAAAAATTTGCTACAATTTCAAAGTTGATTTTCTCGCGAACCGTCAAACCGAATTTGGTGATTTTTCTATTAAATTGTAGGTTTATTCTTCGGAAATAATGCGTTTATTGAAATATTTTTTCAAATTTACATTTTAAGTATATACAGGGTGCACAAGTAATAATAAGTTTTTTTCCGGAAATTTGAAACGCCCTGTGGGCTGTACCAGCTTTAACAGCATATGGCTCATATAATTAAACTATAGTTAGCTATATATAGCCCAATATTTTCTTAACATTTTGGTTTTTGATTCACGTCGCTCTCTCTTTTTTTTAAATGAGATATACGTTTAAAGACTAAATAACTCCAGTTTAATGTAAAATTAAAGAACTTAACATAGGTAGGTCATGGAAAATAAATAATGGTTTGTAAATATTAGAAACTCTCATTTTTATTAAGGTTGTCTGCATAAAGTTATTGTTATGGGGCCCCAAGTAATTTAAATGGTGATAAATGAGTAAGAATTATTACAATGGACGAGCAAGGATTCGGCTACCGTGCCATAGCTCGGAGATTGGGAGTTAATCATACCTCAATATCCCGTGTTATTAGACGATTATAACAGACGTGATGGGCAGGGAACGCATCGAATGACAACAGCCGTACATGATCGTTTCCTTTATTTGCATGCTTTGAGAAAACGATTTGTACACTGTTCAAAATTTCATGACCATTTTAACACCAAATTAACACCATACATGGTCTATATCGATACAAACCAAAATGGTGTTAAATGTGGTCATGCCCGTGGAAACCTAAAATAGAACATAGAAGGTTTCTATGAATTTTTTCAAATTTTTTCATTCAGCCAATCGAGTGATATGAATTTTCGAAAATTTCGGGTATTTTTTTTTTTAAATAACTTGGTGAAAAATTGTCCGATTTGGGACTTTTTTTTTCAAATTTCGTGTTTTTTGATGAACTTTTTGAAAAATTTATGCAAAAAATTATTCATCATAAATTTGATTGTTTTTTTTTTCATTCCAAATTTAAAACAAGAATTTTAAGATTGTTTGTATCCTTCAAATTTTTTTAAAAAATTCTCAAAAATTCTACTCTTCAAAACACAAATTTTAAGCCTAGTCTCGTAATGGGATAATAATGGGTTATAATTTTTTTTTTAATTTTTAAATATATATATTTTTTTTTTTCTGTTTTTTTTAACTATTTGTGTATTACTGGCGGCTTTATTAGATGAGATTCGAAAAAAATCATACATCAATATAATAAATAATTGAAGTCAAAATTTCAATTTCTAAGGTAAATTTTATTTATAACTTTTTAAAGGTTTTTTTTTTATTTTTTTTGGCGTTTGAATATTTTAAGTTTTATTTGAGCAAGAAATCAGTTTCATTGTGAGTGATCCATCTGTATTTGGTATAACGCAATGATACTTTTGTGTACCTGTGATACTTTTAGCTTTTGAATAACGTATATTTAAATTCTCTGTAGCTTTTTCATAATCTGCAATAGTTGAATATCTTACTTCGATTTTTGGCAAGTTATTAGATTGCGCAGCCCATTGATACAACTCTCGGGGGTTTGAAATTTGTTTATCAAATGGTAACAGAAGACTAGCTCTTGCTGCACCTCTTTTTAGTGTTCCTCCTACACCGTCACAAGGTCCTTTGCCATGGTAGCTGGCAAAGAAATGCCATTCAGCATTTATTCCAAAATCTTCCTTGTGATAATATAAATTAACAAAGTTTTTGTAATTCTTAAATTGTTGCGGAGCTCCATCGGAAAAGTAGAATATCTTTTTAGCTGTATTGGACAAGGACTTTATAAAATCAGTAACGATTTTCAAAAAGACGTTAACTGCAGTCGAGTCATGCGTGTTACAATTAGATATAATCACTAAACTTCTGTGCAATAATTCATTATTTTTCTTAAAATAAATTACCACTGGAAATATTGTCGATTGATCATTATTCCAATGGAATCCTGGCACTGCAATCACAAACTACAAGAAATTCATCGGTTCCAAGAGACTCTTTAAGAGATTTCATGAATCTTGCTTGCGATTTTGCAATAAAATAATGAGGCAAAAGTTCCGTAATTTTTTCGCAAAAGTCACTGATGAATTCTG